CTCTTTGTCTGACTTATTTCACTTAGCACTTAAGATGCACCTATGTTGTCACAGATGGCAAGATTTCATTCTTTAATGGCTGAATAATATTCCATTGTGTGTGTGTGTGTGTAATTATCCATTTATCTATCAATGGACACTTAAGTTGTTTCCATATCTTGGCTACTGTAAATACTGCTGCAGTGAAGTGAGGGTGCACATATCTTTTTGAATTTGTGTTTTCATTTTCTTTGGATAAATACCTGAAGATTTTATTTACTTTAAAACCCTTAAACAATCAACTAAACCTGAAAGAGGCCTCAGGAGATTTCTTACCAACAGAGTTTAAAGTCATTCCATCAATGGCTGGCCTCAATTGTTGCTAAATTACTTGGAGTATCTCTTCAAGTTATTCTGGATTTTTAGGACTGAATCAAAATGTAATACAAATAATATTCAAAAAAGTAAATATACAGAGTTAAACTTAAAAGTCTTTTGAGCTACCTTCCAAACTCAGTACCCTTCTTCTTAACAATTTTTGGGGATGAGTACTCTAATCTAATTTTTTCTCATGAGTAACAAGGACATTTCAAGCATAATGAATGGTTCAACTACTAATATCCGCTGTGCAATCGCCAGTAAACAAGAAGAATATAGGTCTGCATTCTGTGTTTACTGATACAAAGGAACTATACCAGAAAGGCAAACATACCCAAGAGAGTTTAATCAGGGTACTACTGATTCTTGATTGCACGGTATAATCTGATTATGAATAGCAAATGTACCAGAATAATACTGTCAGAACAAAGTGGATAAGAATGGTCTTTGGGGGCACCTGGGTGGCTCAGTCAGTTAAGTGTCTGACTTCGGCTCAGGTCCTGATCCCAGGATCCTGGGATCAAGCCCCACATCAGACTCCCCACTGGGTGGGGAGTCTGCTTGTCTCTCTCCCTCTCCTTCTGTCCCTCCCCCCTCTGCTGTGCGAGCTCTCTCTCTCTCTCTCCCTTTCAAATAAATAAATAAAATCTTTAAAAAAAAAAGAATTGTCTTTTGGTTCATGAAATTTCTACTAAAAGAGTTGTATTACACAAAACCACCTAGTTTTTTTTTTTTTTTTAACTGAAATAGAAGTAAAGGGACTTTGGGTCAAGATGGTACAGTAACCTGAAGATCTGATCTTTTTTTTTTTTTTTTTTTTTCTTTAGAGAAACTTTGTAACTGAGGTATTTTCTCCTACTTTGCATGAACTCGGTGTTGTGTGAGCCAGGAGCGGTGGGCTCATCTAGGATTCTTCATCAGTGACCCGATTGCTTCCCCTGTTCTGCACCCTTACTGGGGTATTATCCAGAGCTGACAGGATGAAAGAGAAAGTTAAGAAGAATTATCGTAGCACTATAATACCAGGGCTCTAGGTGGAAAGATTCCCATTAAAAAGTGTGTTATGTTAGTAATGAAATCACTGAAAACTGACAAATGCCTATATGTTTGATTTAGGAATGAACATCAGTGTGGAAAACATGCAGTGGAGTATTTAATTGCTTCCCACAGGAATGAAAGAAAATTATTACACTGATTCTTAACAGTTGGAAGGTCCAGTATATAGACAGTATACTAAGTCCAGCTTGCAGGAGTACAACCGTCCGCGTGACCGTACGAGCCACTGCTAACCATGAGGCTGAGCCATGGTTTCCAGAAAAGAAAATGCCTTCTCTGTGGTGAATGGCAGGAAAGCAACAATACATCGCCTGTCAGGTGAGCTCCGCATAGAGGAAAATGATGATGGATACTGATAAGATGGGTTTTTGCAGGAGAGGGAAAAGAAATGCAGTTCCCCATGCATTGGGCAAAGGATGTATACTTCTGTTATGGAGTCAGAATCTCAGAAAAGGAGAATATGCCAACACCATGCAATATAAAGTCAGTATTGGCAACGTGTGGTTGGCTGGGAGGCCTGTGCTTCATGCTTTTCAATCGCCGCATTCAGGAATGACAGATGCAAAGGAAAAATGGAAAACTCACAAGACACATTAGGACTTTAAACAAAATCTCCATGGACTTGATAAAAATACAAAGCAGTGGGCAGAACTGAAGGCATAGGCTAATTGGTACTTGGTAACAGGTTCCCGGGGGTCAGGGCCTGGTTATGCTTTGGAAATCATGTTTTTAAACTCAGGCTACTGATTTCCGATTATTTTCTCATAGCTTTCTGTTCTATTTTACAGTGATCGTATCTTCTTGAGTCTCTGAGAGCCATAACTGAAGGTTGTATGTATGAGAAGGTTTGATTTTTTATGGCTTTTTTTGGGAATTCTCTTTACTTTCCCCAATTATTACTACTTGCCCCCACTGTGTTTTTCTGTTTATTTGTCTTGGGTTTTCTCTTTTATGTTGTTGTTTTCCTCATATGCTTGTTTATCTTAAGTTGTCTGTTCAGCTCTAAGAAGGCAGCACTGAGGCTGGTTCGTGTTCCCGCTGATGTCACATTTAGGTTGATTTAAGTAGGCTGGTTTCCTTGTAACTCTTTCTGGAGTGGGAAATTGCACTGGGGCATTTGTGCTCCAGTGCTAACTGTTATATTTCAATTTAGAGGGGGTGGGAAGGAAAAGCCAGGCAGGGAACCTCTCAAATGCTAATGAGGCAGAATTTACCATAAACTGACATTCACACTAGATGCCTTAGAAGTTTTCTTATAAGGTTCTGTTCACCTTTTGTAGAAAACAGCCTTACCAGCTTTTGCAGGAGGGCGAAGATTTTGCACTCCTGCAAAACCTGGGTGCCTGTCTTCTGTAGATGGGGTCGGGGGAAGAGCTACTTTACTAAGCTCCATGCCTCACTTTCACTGCCTTCTCCTGACCCTGAGTCTCTGGGAAGTGTCCAACAAGATTATGGCTTCCTGTTCCTCTCTAATTAAAATAGATGATCAAAAAGCAATGTATTATGACAATATTCATTCCCCACCCAAATGGTGAAAACCTCACCAAATTTACAATAGAATGTTATGCGCTCAGCTCTGATATTTAAGAAACATTTACTGCTTAAAGGCCATTGGGATCTTTTGCCAAATCATATTTTCCATTATGTAATCCAAATCCTTTATATAAAATCCATCATTCAAGCTCAGCTAACTGACTGGTGCAGGCTCTCATGACTCAACCAGCAGTGTCACCACCTTACAAATAAGTGTCCTTGGTCAGAGGACCAGGTGACAGAGTCACATTGGCAATGCAAACTCACTGTCACTGTGGGAAATAACTCCAAGGACATGTCGTTTTGCTGATTGGTTGGTTGCGTGGTCTTCATTTAGGAAATTATGTCATCATTAGTGAATTGTTTATGCTTTCTGCTTTGCCTTGGCATTTCTACCCAAAATAAAAAAACTTGCCCCAAACATAATCATCATGTTTAGAAATTGGTGTGGAAAACACCTGCACATGGTGAAAGACATTCGTGCAACTGAACTGCAGGGAGTGAAGAAAGAACCTCCAGATGACAATTCTATGACTGCCATGAGACGGGAAGAGAAAAGAAGCTGGACTAATGCTTTCCCCTCTATATGGTGCAGGAGGAGCACCAGCGGTGACATTCAGCACAGCACAGAAAAACAATTTCCTCTTCCCAGTGTCATTTCTTTTTTACACCTAATATTATCTATTAGCCCCCGGCAGTGCTTTTCACGATAACGGAAGGTCACATCAAAGCAACACATGTGGTATGAGATGACAGAAGTCATCAGGATATACAGCCCCTTTGAATAGGTCTTAGGACATTTTCCCACTTGCTATAATCTGGATATAGTATAGGCAGCACCCTGGTAACCACGCTTGACTCTTACTATCCAACATTAAATTCCCTCTGGAGGGAGTTTCACGGGAAATAGAGGAATTCATCCCTTCCTTCCAGTGATTGGTAAAGAGGTAAAGACATTTTTAGAATATCATATTTCAGAAGGTTTAGCAGGGTACGGAATTTGGAAAGAATCTGAGTCTCCATGACTTGCCATCTGGGTAATCTTGAGCAAATTACTTGAACATAGTAAATTTCAATTCTCTCGTCTGTAAAATAGGAGTGATGATTTTTTTCCTTCGAAAGTTATATTGCAAAGAGTATGAGGTTTTATGTATATAATATGTAGCACAGTGGTAGACGAACCAAAAGACAGATTAAGCAAGAGTTTAGGGCAGAAGCAAAATGGGGGACTCCAAAATGAGAAGACAAATTAGGTAAAGTATTTGTGTTCTTAAAAGAAAATTATTGAATTGGTCATCTTAATTTTATTTATTTTATTTTCAAGATTTTATTTATTTGAGAGGGAGAGAGAAAGAGAGAGAGAGAGAGAGCATGAATAGGGGGATGGGCAGAGGGAGAAGCAGACTCCCCACTGAGCAGGCAGCCAGACTCGGACTCAGGGCTCCATCCCAAGACCCTTGATCCTAGGACCCTGGGATCAGGACCTGAGCCGAAGGCAGATGCTTAACCGACTGAGCCACCACCCAGGCACCCTGGTCATCTTGATTTCAAAAAGCTTATTTATCTCTTACACTTTAAAAAATATTTTTTGACACTCTGTTGTTGTCTTATTTTGAATTACATATAGGAATGGCATAGCAGACTCTGAAGGGTATTCATCTTCCTGTGGTCTCCTCTTCCCTCTCTGGTCTCCATCCAGGACCCCACCCAAACACACATACTCAATCGCTTCACTAAATTGGGCATGCTCAAATATTTTAATACACTTGTGCCAATGTACTTAGGAGCTCGCTTTGTCTTTATAGTGAGCTTTCCTTTTAAAATAATCCAAACCTAGTCATTCCTATGCTGGTCATGTTTGTTTATTTCTCACATGTGTCCTTTTGGCTCATGATGTTCTGTATTGCTCAGCGTATCTATCGTCAAGCTCACAGACCCTGAGAACTAGTGGGCTTTCCCAGTCTGTTATGTGAGGAGAAAAACTATTCAAAAAACATAGAAAATTAATCACAAATGCATAGGTAGGAAATTTTTTAAAATATAATGGGACTCACAGGTATTCCCCGATTTGATATTCTCTCAACACGGTCAAATTGATGTACAGCAAAGCACACCAGGTAGGTGCTCATAGGGACAGACTTCCTGAAAGTTGTTCTATTCCACTTATCATCCATCAACTCTTCTTTCTATTGAAACAAAAGAAAACATTTTGTTGATCAAAAGATGAATCATGTACAAGACAGACAAATGATTTCTCCAAACCTGGCTTCTCAGTCCGGTTCGTCAGAGCTTAGGTATAACATTTCTTTTTACCCCTGAATGGTGATGTAAGAACAAGACTGAAGGAAAAGGCATTTATTTTTAGTCCTGTGAAAGAGTGATTCAACTTTGCATTGTATGAGGTTTCCCAGGGAAAAATACCACTTTGGCTGTGATGTAGGATTTTGTCTTTCTCCATTAAATACACCATCCTGACCATAACATTTGAGGGGAGACCAGCTCCGTCAATGACGAGAAGGCTGGTGCTCCGTGCCTGGCACTCAGGAAGAGAGGAGCAGATAGGGACGTGGGAGGGCAGTCGCTGTACCAGGCATAGCAGGGTGCAGGGTTCTCTTTCCCATCGCTGGGGTCTCCCATCAAAGAGCCAAGGTATTATCACTAAAGTCACTGCCTTGATTACCATGGACAGAGAGAAGGATTTCATTCTTTGATGTCGCTATGGATTCTATCTGTCCGGTTTGCTGTCCATGCAAGCTTTGTCTTCCTAACTGCCAATCAGCGGTCCTACTCCATCCATGGATACTTGCCCAACTCCTGCTACCATTGTTTAAATACTTCCACACGCCCTGCAGCCACACAGTAGATCACCCCTGGCGGAAGCTGGGAAGCTCTCACGGGGGCTTAAGGGAGGCAGGCTGGACTAGAATCGATCCTCCTTGACAAGCAAGTCTGCGAGTCCAAGTGCTGGGAGAGAAGTGTCCGAGCGCCGGCAAAGTTACTCTACAATGAGAACTAGCAGTGTCAGTTTTGATCGCCTAATGACCCAGAATATTCTCCCTCTTCCGGGACTATTGCCTGGAACAATGAGGTGAGGAAACATACTCTGCAAACAGAGGAACAAACAGGTGAGGAAATATACTCTGCAAAATGCAAAGGTCATCTGGGAGGTCTAAAGCTGGAGGCTGATGAGGTTTGCATTCTCTCTCCTCCCACCTGCCCTCCTCCTTCCAGATGGAACATTCAAAGGACCTTTTATGCTGACCCAGTCTTCTAAATTAGTGGGTCAGACTTTAAGTGTATCCTCTCCTCTTTCTTCTACAGTCAAAACACAATGGGTCGGGTGACCAACACCAGAAGAAAACAAATTGATAAACGAGGCACAGATGGCTGACACAATTTACTTTTTAACTCTCCTAAAGCTTTTGTTTGCTTTATTTTGTTCTTGTTTTTTGGAGGAATATTTATCATTAAAAGGGATGAATTTCAATGATGACATTTCAGATAGTGGATCAGAAAGATGGGAGATATAATTTAGGCTGGGTGTTTTTCTGGTATTAGGTAGGTGACAATTATATCTAAGGATGAGCCCGACCTTTTTACATGTCAATATATGTGCATTTATTATATGTATCAGGTACAATACCCCCAACTTTAGGTAATGACACTTCAGTTAGCTGCATTACCTGTTCTGTGGTTGAGGAGTGATAACAGGGGAAAAAGTCTTATGCCAATAATTATATAGACAGAACTTACTGGAGCCTATTTTTTGTTAACGTTTCATGAGGACTACTTGTTTACTAGAAAATCTATGGGCATGGGTTTTCTTGGACTTGGTTCTATACTCCAATAGTTAAGTGATGGGTTTTTGCAGTAGCTCTGTCTTAAACACTGGGCTTATATTCAACTGAAAACCAAGAACAGTGACCAGGCCCAGGAATATTTTTAAGTCTCTAATTCCATGAGTTTGTCATTAGTCTGTCAGAACTAAGGGGTTCTTTCAGTTAGGCAGAGCCCAGTTGAGGAGTGTCTACTGTAGTCATTCTTTTTTTTTTTTTTTTAAAGATTTTATTTATTTATTTGACAGAGAGAGACACAGCGAGAGAGGGAACACAAGCAGGGGGAGTGGGAGAGGGAGAAGCAGGCTTCCCACGGAGCAGGGAGCCCGATGCGGGGCTCGATCCCCGGACCCTGGGATCTTGACCTGAGCTGAAGGCAGACGCTTAACAACTGAGCCACCCAGGTGCCCCTACTGTAGTCATTCTTGTTTGGAGCCCAACCATGGTTTTTTGACCTATGATACATTAGGTTAAAGATTTTTAGGATTCAAAGAAAAAATATTGCCAAAATGTGTTTTCAAGCCTCTAAATGAACTATGGGAGCACATTTAATTTGAGAATTTAGTGGGTTCTCTCATAGCAAAAGAAGATAACTTACCTGATATTATAAATTGACGATCTGCATAAACAAAAAAAATTTTTTAAGTACTTACCTCCACTGGCATATTTGAAACTGCCTTATATTCTTTGGGGTGGATGATGGATATTGTATAAGTTGCTTTTTTGTTGGGCTCATCAAAACAAGGGAAGGATTTTCTGGCATCTGTTGGTTCGTGATCAGTGGCCGCTATGCTCCTTAGAAGCAAACACACAAACAAAATACATGTCACCTCTTCTGACAACCCCTGTGTTTCTAGTCTTATACAAAAAGTCAACTGTGTGATTACAATTGTGTATAGTTATAACTACTATATAATTATACTGCATTTCTTAAAATGATTGATCTTCTATCCAGAAAACAATCAAATAGTCTTTTTTGATTTTTCAGATTAACAAATAAATGAATATCTGGAAACTGCTTCAGATTTTTTATATGCATCCCTTGATATTTTGGCGCCATAACTAAAAATCTGTGAACTGTAGATAAGCAAAAATAAACCCAATTATGAGCTATCACTCTTTCCACCCGAAAGCCATCGAGTAACAAGTAGATAAACACAAAGCCAAACTCAAGGATTTGTTTCTAATTGTCCTTGTGAGAGGGAGCAGCTGTGTCCTGTCCCAGAGCAGAGGAGTATCTTCCAGAATCCCCAGCTCCTGTCCCTCATGACACATTCTTTCTTATTTATGTTGTACCAGGGACAAACTCCAATTTCATTTCCACACAAACGCAGTGCTCTGAGTAATCTCCCAGGTGAAACAAACTTTGGCCAGGCTGAAAGTCTGCTTTTGAAAAGAGACAGCATTTTTTATATTGCTCTCACTAGGCAAATGCCTGTGTAAATTAAAATGTTAATTTTAATGTTTCCAACATTTCAAAGTGGAAATAGTATTTCAAAAAAATCAAAAAATATATATGTTTTTTACACATAGTTATATCATAGTAAGGCATTGTATATTTGCTCATTAGAAGAGTAAGCAAAGTAAAAATTAGAAAAGAAAGGAGGAGTTTGCAGCAGCAAGCAAAGAAAGCAATGTTGACATGTTCATTAACAATTTGGGTAAGGACAGTATTTTGTCCTTCAGGTACATGAAAAAGAATACCAAGCTAAATCATTAGATCTTTCCTTCATCCAATATTTATTGAACCCTTTCCTTCCATACCCCTCCCCTGCCCCCACACCACACACACAAACACATTTGCCAGGGATTATTCTAGGGGCTAAGGGAATAACAAAGACTAAATAAACACATCAGGAGAGTGATGAAAGATATATGGAAAATAAAACAGGGGAAGTGACAGAGAAGAACCTAGGAAAAATTGTGAGCACCATTAGGTAAAATAGTCAGGGGCAATCTCTTGGAGTAGGTAATGGTTTGCTGAGATCTGAGTGATGACAAAAAGCCAGACAGGGTAAGCGTAAGAAAAATGTATTCTAGCAGAGGGAACAGCAAGGGCCCGGTTGCTAGAAATGAACTTAATGTGGTTGAGGACCTGAAAGGTGTCCAGTGTGGCTGAAGTCCAGTGAACAAGAGGGACTGGGGCCAAAAAAAGAGTTTGGCTGGTCAGCAGGGGCCATGATAAGAGTCTGCATTTCACTTTGGTTCAAAGATGTATTATATACATTAATGGATCTAAGAAATAATATGCCATAGGTCAACACCCTTCTACAAGAAATTAAAATATTTTTTAATTTATTAAAAAAAAACCTCTCTAGAAATAAAAATTACTTGCTCAAAGCTCAGCCAAGAAACCTCATCTGTAAAAATTAAAACCGGAAAAGTGGCTGTGTTTTTGAGACAATTGACTGAGGGAGAGAACTTGCTGGGACGATTGAAAAAAATCTATCTTATAAGGGACGTGGGTAACAAGGATGTATGCATTTGTCAAAATTCATTGAATTGTGTCCATTAGGTTTGTGTGTGGTTAAACAAACAAATATACATAAATTTTACTGAAAAACAATTGTAAATGAGCAGTAAGTTCTAGCAAATAAGTTGTATTTTGTGGTAGTATAGTTAGCAATTCAGAAACAACCTTTTCTGTATTCTAGGCTTCAGCAAATGAAAAAAAAAATGAGGATAACGGAAGGCAGGCTTCTCACTGTTGGGGAAGAGAGTTACAAATCTGTAAAGGGGAAAGACTAGAATGTATCCTTGATATTGAATTGTAATTGCGGGTTCGGTATAAATTCAATGATTTTTTGTGTAGATATAAGTAGATGGCTATAAAAATCCAAACTGAGCCATATATTTCTGAATTCTGTCTGCCGAGCAGAACTAGGAGCACTGACAAGCGTGGAGCAAATGAGCACAGCTAGTTCCCAGATGATGATTTCTAAATACCACTCTCCACTCAAAGGAACCAGACTCCTTAGAGAAATGGCCAATTCCAGTGAGGAGTCAGGAAAAGTCCAAGATGATCCTGGAACATCTTGCTTTGCCCCAAAGTAAGGAAGTCCTCAAAGGATCATGGGAACAAGTCAAAGGACACAGAAGCCCACTTGAGTGGACTACCACTGGTCAAATCTGGGGGAATTATAATGTCAAAGTAAATAATGAAATTATAACCCATTGACTAAAATAAGAATCCACAAATCCTTATTCTGGTATATATATGGGGGGGGGGTAGGGGAAGCTGGGTTTTTTTTACAGTAGATTTCCTATTAATGATTTTAGGAGGAATGACGGCTTTAGAAAAATCATCAGTGGATACCAAAACAAGAGGGCGACAGTTTGAAGAAAGGGGTATCTGAGTGATTTCAAAGAATCTCTCTGAAAATTACATACAAAGAGAAAAACTGTAACTTCACAGTGGGGAAACTGTTGGGCACCACCTTAAGCAAGTGATCAAGGACAGCATTGCTAACCACCGGACAAACAAAGGTAATCTGTCTCCTGATAGGATTTCCTGAGAGGGACACGGCGCCGCTTCTGTGAAATTGCTGACAAAAACTGCTTGACTTGCCTTTTTAAATCATGAGGAGAGTCAGATAAACTGAAATTGAGGAACCTTCTCAAAATAAGTGGCCTGTACTCTTCAAAAATATCAAGGTTATGAAAGACAGAGAAAGGCTAAGGGACCGTTCCCGTATGAAGGAATCTAAAAAAGGCATATGCAATGCATATGCAATTCATGAATCCAGACTGGATCCTGGACTGAGAAAAAAATAGCTCAGAAGGGCATTTTTGGGTTAATTGATGAAATTTGATTATGACTGTGGATTAGATAATTGTATGGTATCAATGTTAAATTTTCTGATTTTGATAACAGCACTGGGCTAACGGTGGGGAATGTCCCTGTACTTAAGAAACATATACTGAATATAAAGATGTAAAGGGAAATAATGTGTCAAATACTATAAATGGAGAGAGAGACAGAGACAGAGGCATGGGGTTGGAGGGGAAATAGGACAAAATGTTAACAATTGGTGAATCTGAGTAAAATGTTTCTAGGAGTTCTTTGTACTATTTTTGTAATTTTTCTGTAAGTTTGAAATTCCGTCAAGATAACTTATCCAAAAAGCCTCAAGAATTTATTCTTCCATAGAGTCGTTACTGATTAGTTTTTGTGATGGTAGCAGCTTAGTTGAAGTTTCTAACACTGTGCAGACTGTAGAGAATTGCAAACACATCAGGATATAAAGAAACCCGCACACTTTCCCAGGGTACTAAGGTTTTACAATAAGCTCCACCAAGCTCCAGCCCCATGTTTAGTCAGCTGCCTTTTTTTCTGAATTCTTCTGGCTTCTGATTTCTTCCAGAGGCAGAAGAAAGGAAAAAATCACTCTCTGCAAGAATGTTTCAGCTTAGTCACACTTCAGAAATAAGCCAGCTAACTAATTTGCGACTAGGAGTGTGTGTGTGTGTGTATGCTTGCTCACGCATGAGAGAGGGAGAGAGAGGGTAGGGGGTCAGGGTGAGGAGGGAGTGGGATTCCACTTTTCAAAGCAATAGCCATTGGTAAGTTTCCAAATGCTCTGTTTCAGTCTCTGCTCTGTGCTAAAGTTCATACCCTCAAGTACCCAACATAGAGAACTTTCAGTTGTTCTTCACCTTCTCTCTTTAAAAGAGGTTGCGCTTGATTATACACAAAAGTTGCCTCCCTAAATTAGAGTATCTCGGAACCTGCCTTTGGAAATGGAACAGAACGGTGTTGGTGGTGTCTCTGTATCATGCATTTGGTCCATCTCAGTGGTCCTGTCAGTGAACGTTACTCACATCAAGTCCAGCTCAATTATAGTGATTGATGTAAGTAAAGTGATGTAGGTAAAGTTGCATTCAACAACCAGAATGGCTACCAAATATGTATTGTTTTCTTTTTTAAGAGTACAAAGCCAATATGATTTCAGGGGGGAAAACCTTCTTTTTTCTTTTTTTTTAAGATTTTATTTATTTATCTGAGAGAGAGTGCACGAGGGGGTGGTGAAGAGGCAGAGGCAGAAACAGATCCCCCACTGAGCAGGGAGCCTAATGCGGGGCTCCATCCTGGGACCCCCGAGATCATGACCTGAGCCGAGATCATGACCTGAACCAAAATCAAGAGTCGGATGCTTAACCGACTGAGCCACCCAGGCACCCTGGGGAATACCCTCTTCTAAGAGTAAAAATTCCAAGATTCCAAGCCTACGTCAGCCCTTTAAAGTGTGATCTTAAAAAAAAAAAAAAATGAAGTGTGATCTTGTGCCAGTCACAAAACATACTGATTCTTAGAGTCCTGATCTATCAAACCCAGTTACCAAAGTACATCTGGACTTTTCACAGGGTTATGTGGGGGTGACAAGGGGTAGATCACACAGAGTAATATATTTGAAATTCCCTTCACATTTACATGATGGTATTAGGATACACCTCATCTATTTTCTTTAACTCCAGAAGGCTAACTATGCTTTCTGTGAATGCATTTTCCACAATGAACAGACTTCAAAATTCATCCATTAAACAGGAGTATCTATACTGGAACAAAAGTACTCAGTATATAAATACTATAGGCAATATAACAATATCTTTCAATAGTAACTTGTGATTTTTTTCTCATGAACTCCTGTAGAACTCAAAAGCCCCTACTTTTATATGCTAAATTCCATCCAAAGTTACTGAAGTTTTCCAAATATTTGCAAATTTTATTTTATTTTTTTAAGAGATTTTATTTATTTATTTGACAGAGAGAAACACAGCGAGAGAGGGAACACAAG